TGTGCCTAGCCCCAAACATATTTATTACATTATTGACTATATTTCCTATGCTGTACTTTATATCCCCGATTATTTTGTAACTGCCAATTTGTACTTCTTAATCCCCTCACCTTTTTCACCCAGTCCCTCCAACCTCCTCCCACATGCCAACCATCAGTTTGTTCTCTGTATTCGTGTGTTTCTGTTTTGATTTATTTTTTGTTTTTTGTTTAGATTCCACCGATAAGTACAATCATATGGTATTTGTCTTCTCTGACTTATTTCACTTAGCATAATACTCTCTAGGTCCATCCATGTTGTTGCAAATGGCGAATATTCATTGTATATATGTACTACATCTTCTTTATCCAATTGTCTATCAATGGACACTTAGGTTGGACCTTCCATATCTTGGCTATTGTATATGAAATATCCTTCCTTGTTTCTGGTTATAGCCTTTGTTTTAAAGTCTATTTTGTATGATATAAATATTACTACCCCAGTTTTTTTCTTTCTTTTTATATTTTAGTGATTTTTTACTTTTTCAATTACAGTTGATGTCCAATATTACTTTAGTTTCAGGTATACAACCCAGTGATTAGACATTTATGTAGCTTACAAAGTGACCATCCCAATAAGTCTAGTACTCATCTGACACCATAGTTATCACAATATTATTGACTATATTCCCTATGCTGTACTTTACATCCCCATGACTATTCTGTAACTACAGATCAGTCCTTCTTAAACCTTTAACCTTTTCCACCCATTCCCCCAACCCCCCTCAAATCTGGCAACCATCAAAATGTTCATTGTTTAGAATAACCAAGATATGAAAGCAACCCAGCTTTTTTTTTCATTTCCATTTGCATGAAATATCTTTTTCTATCCCTTTACTTTCAAACTGTGTCTTTCTATCTGAATTGGTCTTTCATAGGCAATATGCGTATAGGTTTTGTTTTCTTCTCCATTCAGCTACTCTGTCTTTTGACTGGAGCATTTAATCTATTTACATTTAAAGCAATTATTGATAGTTATGAAGTTACAGCAATTTTATTATTCATATTTTTTATCTTTTTCTTCTTAAAGAGGACCCTTTGATATTTCTTGTAATACTGGTTTGGTGTTGATAAACTCCTTCAGCTCTTATCTGGCTGGGACAGATAACATTCATTTTAATAATGTATTTCATTTAAACCATTATATCGAAAATTTTATTTCAATGTAATAAATATAAACAATATTAATGAGATATCTAACATTTGTTTTTTCATACTGAGTCTTCAAACTCCACTGTTTGGACTAGTACCACTTCAAGTATTCACTAGTCACTTGTTGCTAGTGGCCATGATACTGGACGGTATAGATCTAAAACATCTTGCTCATTAACTATAAGTGTTCAAAAAGTAAATATCAGGGACTTCCATATACTCCAATACATAATCCAAAAGCAGGACCTGTTCTTGGATGATGCCTACTAAACACCAGTTTACACTTATAAACAGAAATCTTGATACCTTCAACTCAAGTTTGGTGCATTGGCTAGAATCAAAAATTCTACTTTAGAGCTTAATGCCTTTAATTTAGACTTTTAATTACTGTTTACAGGGATATATCTTTAAGACAGCTCATAAACTTTCAGGTTACTAGTTATATAATCTTTGAATTATTAGTCTTAATATATTTGTGAGGAACAAATATATAAACATCAACTTTGTATTCTTTGGGGAAAGAACACATCCCGGTGCATAAAGGATGCCTTCATGAATACCTCCTTCTATTTTCACAGAAGCACAAGTGAAACAGAACGAGAGTTTTATTGAATTTCCTTTATGCAATCATGGTGGACTTTGATAAAGGAACACAAAAAGGAAGGTCACTGACATTATGCAACTAATCTAAAAAGGATCAGTTGGTATCCTAAGGGAGATTTTTGCAGGTACGTCAAACAATACAGGTGGTATCCCTAACTCAAGTCTGTCTCTTTCTAAGGCTAAGCATTCTAGAATCAGAAACTTGGGTTGGTGGCCAAATTTCCATAAATTAATGTGTTATTAGAAGATGGCAAGGAAGTTGTTTTTTACTTTCAAAAGAAAACCTCTTTTTCTCCTCTTTTTCTAGCAGAGAATGAATTCTAAATGGAAAACATGGTTATTGATTTCATTTGCCTTATCACTGACATTGATTAAGCATCATTTCCGGTAAATATAAAAAATTAATGAATCATTATCTTTAGTGATTGGCAGAGTTGATCTAACATACTCAGTTTTGCTCAAAAAGTATTAATAATCATAAATTATCTCCTCTTTGGGGAACAAATCAAATCATAAATATACTAATTCCTTCATTTTTCAACATTCAAAAATATTTACTGAGGGCCTTCTTGGTGCCAGGCAGGTTCTAGGTAATAACTCAAACATAAGTGACTGCTCTTATGAAACTTTACATTCTAGGTGGAGAAGCCAAAAAATATGTAATGTCAGGAGCACTGTATTTTATATAATAATGCTATGAAGAAAGAAGGCAAGATAACAGGATAGAGAGTGTTGGGGCTATTTTAGATCTATTTTAAACTACATCAAAGTTCCACTTAATAGGAACAAGACTCAAAATGACCTGCTGTAGAAACATAGCTATACTGGGGAACAAATCTGTTAACCTACCAAAATTCTCTTACATAAATAATTTAAAATTCTTACCTCAGCTATGCCTTCTTCCTTATGGGTTTTTTTGTTGTTGTTTTTTAATAAGCAATGCATTGTTACTGAATACTACTTGAAAATTAGCTATATTGTGGGAGCTAATGGCTGTTAAAATTAACCCCATTGCTGCCCTGGCTGGTGATGCTCAGTGGTTAGAGTGTCAGCCAGCACACCGAAGGGTCGGGGTTTCAATTCCTGGGCAAGGGCATGTACCTGGGTTGCAGGTTCAATTCCTGGCTCCAGACTGGGCACGTGCAGGAGGCAACCAGTCGATATGTCTCTCTCACATCAATGTTTCTCTCTCTCCCTTCCTCCCTCCCTTCCACTCTCTATAAAAAATAATAAATCAAAACATCCTCATACAAAATCAACCCCACTGCTTTGGTATCATGTTCTACATGTTATTTGCCCTCTAGGGTTTTGTGCCTTAATAGAAATGACTAATGCCATGTCAGGATGTCATATATTCCAGAACTGTAGCATGATGGCTGGCATATAGTAAGTGTTTAGTAATGATCTGGTTAACACGTGAGTGAGTGAATGAATGAATGAATGAATGAATCTGAATTCTAGATTTTCTGTTATTCTAATTGCAATAGAGATTTGTTCAAATTTAACACTAAATGCATTTTTTTCATTTATAAAGAATAAAGAAGCACCTACAGAAGATAAGTCTCTGCTGGTAAGAATCTGTGTTTCATAAATATTCCACAATCTGTATTAAGGGCAAACTGGCTGGAGTCAAGTGGGTTCTAATGGTGACAGCAATCAGAAAGAACAGAAAACTAGACTAAATTCTCTAGAGGAAACCACTGACAAATTTCTTGGGTATCAGTTCAGAAATATTCTACACATGCATATATACATAAATATGAGTATGCATGTGTGCATCTCCAAATTTTGCTCACTTGACACACTCACCTGCTTACATACCAGACACTTTTTTTTTTTTAAATATATCTTTATTGATTTCGGAGAGAGGAAAGGAGAGGGAGAGACAGAGACAGAAACATCAATGATGAGAAAGCAGGTGCCCTGAACCGGGCATGTGCCCAGACTGGGAATCAAACCCCGATAGCCTGGATCCTAGGTCGACGCTCAACTGCTAGGCCACGCCCGGCTGGGCACCAGACACATTTTTGACATTTGCTGTAGTTTAAATATCTCTATCCAGGATGATGATATTTTTTCCCCCCAGAATGACAGCCCTCATTAGTCAATCATGTTTTCTATTATTGACCATTGTGTAGCATCTGAGAAATTAGAGAAATCAACTGTCAAAAAAATGAATTTTACAAAAAATTATTCAGCTCTAGCCAGCTTGCTCAGTGGTTAGAGCGTCAGTCTGTGGACTGAAGGGTCCTGGGTTCAATTCTGGCCAAGGGCATGTACCTCGGTTGCAGGCTTAATCCCCAGCCCCAGTCAGGGCATGTGCAAGAGGGAACCAATCGATGTATTTCTCTCACATCGATTCTTCTCTCTCTCTCCCCCTCTTCCACTCTCACTCTGAAAAGCAACGGAAAAAAATATCCTCGGGCGAGGATAAAAAAAAGAAAAAGAAAAAATTCTTCATTTGTCACTGTATACTTTTAATGAAATTTGGCATGATTAGATTTTAAATGAGCATGAGGCCTGGGCAATCCTTATAATGAAATATCTTTGGCTAAAAACACCTCTGAAATGTCAAAAAGGGATGCATTTTTAAAGGTGTGTTTTTTAAATACTTGATTTTGAAATAATTATAGATTCACAAGAAGTTACAAAGATAGTAAAAAGAGGTCACATGTACCTCTCACCCAATTTTCTCCACTGTTACATCTTACATAATTGTTGTACAGTATCAAAACAGGAAATTGATGTTGGAACAATGTATGTGTATAATTACATAACATTTTATCACATGTTAGATTTGTGTAACCACCACAGCAATCAAGATACAAAACTATTCCCTCACCACAAAGACCTCCTTTGAGCGACCATTTATACTCACACCCAAACTCTTTCCCCTCACCCTCCCTAACCTCTTCCTAGTACCACTAATCTATATTCATCTCTATAATTTTGTCACTTTGAAGTTTACAAATGGAATCGGACAGTATATGGCTCATTGAGATAAGCTTTTTTCACTCAGGATAATGCCCCTGAGATCCAGCCACATTGTTGTGTATATCAATAGGTCATTCCTTTTTATTGCTGTGTAATATTCCACAAAAAGATGTACCAAAGTTTGTTCAACCATTCTCCTGCTGAGGGCCATTTTGGTTGACAGTTCTAGTCTTACAGCACCTGCAAAACACTGTTCCACTTCCTTTTGGGTCCATGATTTCTGATGAGAAACTCACCGCATTCCAATTATTTTTCCCCTATAGGTAAATCATTTCTCTCTGACTGCTTTCAAGATTTTTTTTTTTCACTTTAGCTCTTAGAAATTTAACTATCGTTCTTTTTCATGGATTTCTTTAGGTTTATCCTGTTTGGGGTTCACTCAATTTCTTTGAATCTGTATGTTTATGTCTTTTGTCAAGTTTTGGGGAACATTCAGTCAATTTTAAAAACACTTTCAGCCCCATCCTTTCTTCTCCTTCTGGTATTCTAATTACATGAATATTAGATCTTCTGTTATAGTCCCACATTTCCCTGAGGCTCTATTCATTTTCCCCCATTCTTTTTCTCTCTGTCGTTCAAACTGAGTGATTTCTACTATTCTAAGTTCACTGATTCTTTCCTCCCACTCTCCATTATGCTGTTAAGCTTATCCATTGAGTTTTTATTTCAGTTATTGTATTTTTAAGTTCTAAAATTTTTTTGTTTTTCTTTATATCTTCTATATCTTTATTAAGACTTTCTATTTCTTTGCTGTCACTTTCTATTTTTTTGATTGTTTCAAGTGTTTGCAATTGCTTATTGAAGCATTTTTACATTTCTGCATTAAAATTCTAGTCAAATCTAATATCTGTATTATCATGGCATCTGCAGGTTGACCTTTCTCATTCAGAGATCTTTTTGATTCTTAGTATAATGAGTGATTTTTTTATTGAAACCTAGACATTTTGGGTATTATGAAGCTTTGTATCTTATTTAAATCCTGTGTTTTCACAGGAATCTTCTTACACTGCTGAAGCTGGGACATGGGTGGCACCTGATCATTACTGTCAGTTGAGGGGTGAAATTTCATGTTCTCATCTCTGCTTCCACTGAAACCTGGAGGAGAGGGGTTCCTTGTTACTAATAGCAGGGATGGGAGTTCAGGCTCCCTACATGGTCTCCACTGACACTAACCACAGGAGGATGGCCACAATTGTTGAGCAGTGGTGTAAGTTCTAACCCCCACTAACCTCCTCTAACTCCACACCAGTGAGGAAGGGAAGGAACCTCATTACAGTCTGTGGAGGATGGAAATCTAAGCTCTCCATTTGGCCTTTGCTAGAGGGATGGGTGTGGGGTCACAGTTTTTCTGTGATATTGGGCTGGAGTATAATGATTAGTGCTTTAAAGTTTTCTTTCTAGGTTGCCCTTTTCCTGGTCCTTTAGCTATAAAGAGCAGACTTTTCTTGGGGCTCCTTTTGTGTCAGTGCCCATTGGCATTTCTGGGTTGCTGACTTCTCTAGCACCCAATCTGGCATATATGGTGGCAGAAAACCAAGGACACTCACTGCCATGTCAATCTTTGAGTCCCAAGGTGCCTACCTGATATGCCTTCTCTCTACCTTTCAGAGTCTTTATATATAATGTCCAGGGGGGTTAGGTATAATTAGTGATAGAAATAGGGAAAATTAGTAGTATTCCATCTTTCTGGAAGCAAAGTCACTTAAAGTTATTTCTATTTTACAAAATAGCCCTGGTTTATAAAAGGGAAATACCCTCATAACCTTGTCAATTAAATAATTAACTAAAAGTACAACAAAACCTTAGGTGGGTCCTCTTTAAATGAAAATCAAAGATGAATATATGGGCCCCTACTTCAACCCCTTCATTTCAACATGTAACAGTGTCTATCACATAGTAAGCTACAAATGTTTGATAAATGAATTAATTGTGCATTTTTGTATGAATATACATTATTTTTCCTGCTCTGTTAATTTTTAAAATATGTCCCCCCTTCACAAATTACACTGTTCCTTGCCTTCCAGCTTTTGTTCATGACCTCTTCACCCTATACCTCTTTATTTAATCCTTCCAGACTCAGTTTACATATTTCATTTTCCAGGTGGTTTCCCTTAAGCCCCAAATTAGGTTAGATGTCCCATTTATATGCTCCCATGAAGGTCTGTTTTTCCCTATTAGCCCTTATCACTCTGTACTATAATTATCTATTTAATCTTCTCTTTCCTACTAGTTTATCAACTTCCTGAGGGCAGGAACTGACCTACATGTTCATAGTTACAGAACCAGCACCAAATAGTGCCTGTTGTGTTATGGGGTGAAATATATGTTTGCTGCATGAGTGGGTTACTCTTAACTTGCTTTTCATTCTGTACCCAGGGATCATGAAGCAGAAGAACCTCAGCTCTCAGACTGGTTTAACCCTAAGTAAGAACAAAAAATTCTGATCACAATATGATAGTAATAGTATAACTCAATTTGAACAGAGGAAATTTTTTTTTTCCATCATCAAATTGTAGCTATCCTGAGAGGCTTCCAGGACTTAGAGTTCTTACTTTTAAGGCTTTTATGTACAAAACTAGGCTCTATTTATAAAGAGTTAGGCAATTAAGGGTCATAATGAGAAAGCTATTATCTGTTTTAACATTCCTGGTTTATTAGGAGAAAGAAAAAAAATTCTCTTTAGAAGCAGCCCAAAAATGCCATTAATGATTTCTCTTGATTTTGACATTAACACTCAGGGGAGAAATTCATTCTTTATATTGGCTATCTAATATCCTATTTTATGACTCTAGAGCGCAATTATTTCAGCCAACTCCCTATTGGCTTTGTATTGTTTGCAATTTGGGTGCTATTGTAAGTAATATTTCAATGAATATCCTTGTTCATATGTTTTTATACACTGTTGTGTGAATTTATCTGTGGGAGAAATTCCTATTGTTAATTTAAAAGGATGTAAACATTTAAAATTTGATTCATGTTGCTAAAATGTCCTTTAATGATTACATCATTTATTTTCCAATTGGCAAGGGATAAATGTTAGTAAAAATTTATTTGTTTTATATGTTTATATTTTATTCTAGTAGTATCGAGCATTTTATTATTGGCAAAAGTTAAAATATTTCAATTCAATTTGCATTTCTGTAATTATTATTAAACTTCAGGATCTTTTTATATGTTTATTATTTATTTGTATTTCATCATCTATAAATTCCTTTTTCATATTTATATTTTTAAAATAAACTTTAGCCTGGCTGGGCGTGACTCAGCGGTTGAGCACGACCTAGGATCCAGGCGATCGGGGTTCGATTCCCGGTCAGGGCACATGCCCGGTTGCAGGCTTGATCAATGACTCTCTCATCATTGATGTTTCTACTCTCCCTCTCCTTTCCTCTCTCTGAAATCAATAAAGATATATTTTAAAAAAACAAAAAGATAAATAAATAAAATAAACTTTAGCTGCACAGAATTAGATTAATAATAATCCTTGCTTCATGACTCATCTCATCATTAGTTCATGCAAAATCTACTTATTTGTGTGCTTTCTTGCTTATTTTTAATGAAACAAAAATTACAACCTTCAATAACTTTAACAGCTAGGTTTGTGTCCTTTCCAATACACCTATTCTATTTCCATGCCCTACGCCCTGTAACAACCACATCTCTGAATTCTGGTTCATTATCTCCTTGCTTTCTGTTTTAAATATAAATTTATATCCTCCATATATATTCTTAGAAAAGTCTATTTTTAAATTTTAGATGTTTATAACTTTATAAAGTAGATATCATGCTGTATATAATCTTCAGAGGCTTATTTATACCCTTAATATTAGATTGCTAAGATTCATCCAAAAATTGCATATCACTGTCATTCATTCTGATTGGTTGCACAGTAACTGACTGTGGAATTACACCATAGTTTGTTCATTCACTGCCTTGGTAATGGGCACTTAAAATATCTCTAGGTTTTTGCTATTATGAACATATAAGATGCTCTTATAAAATGCTTTCCAAGGAGATCAAAGAGTTTAAAATGTGAAAAATAATTATAGATAAAATAGCTGCCTAATATCTATCTCTGACCTCATCTTTAACTACTGTCTCACTCCACTCTGATCACACTGGCCTTCTTAATGTTCCTCAGATACACCAAGCATGCTCTCACCTCAGAGCCTTTGCACCTTCTGTTCTTTCTACATACCATTCATCCTTCAAATAGCCAAATGGTTCATTCTCTCGCTTCCCTCAAGATTCCAGTCAAATGTTATTTTATCAGTAAAGCCTTCTCTAACCACCCCATATAAAATGGCACCCCATTCCTTTTCTTCCCTATCCAGTTTTATTTTTCTCCATTGCACCCATAAGCAAACACTAGAATGTGCCTAAAAAAGATCCTAGACATAGTAGAGGCTCAATGTTTATAGAATAAATAAATACATGAAACCCCTGGTCTAATGGAAATGATAGCACTTTCATAACAATGTAATAGTGGTAGAAGGCATTCTTTACTTTAGTTGGAAGGTGGTACTTTATTATTAAGCATTATGTTGGCTTTTAATTTAATATAAAATGACTTCTTCAATATTGAGATATCAGGGAAGAAGCTAATGAAGATCAGCCACACCAGCCAGTGCAGTAATCCCGTGTTCTGCCTGTTAGCTCAACTGCATGAGAAACTCCCAAGTGACCTGCTTATCAGGTTCAAGGAACCATGACTTACTTATTCCCTAGAAGAAGGACTCCTCCATGGGGAGCTAGGAATTCTAAACCCACTGAACCCAAGGTCAAAACAATGACAAGTAAACATTGTCTAAGTGAGTTATTAGATGTGATCATAAGCAGGAACATCCTCATATCCATCTTGCTTTATGGGCTGTGTATTTTAGCTTTGGAAGAAATGGTATCTCATATTGTTTATTGATTCAAAGCATTAATGGTGTACTATTGAACAGTACCTCAACATTTCAGGGAATTATCTCTGAACACTGAAATTGAGACTTTTCCTGGCCATTCCAGTTTCTACCAGGCCAGCTGCCTCTGAACAGTGATGCACATAGCCCAGAGAACTTTATGGAAGTGAGCCAACTGCCACACTACTTTCACCAGGAAACGTGTACCTTGGATGCAGGCAATGTTACGTGTGATACAACAGCAATGGATAAGATGTTCTGCAAGTCAACAAAGATGGCAGATTTGTAGGCAGGAAAAGCAAATCCCTACCCAGAACATGAAACATTCCCCTGAGGAAAATATGCTGCCCCTTTCATTATGGAGTCTAATATAATCAAGCAGCCATCACTGGCTGGTCCCCCTGGGAAACACTGTCATATTGTAGGCTGAGTCAGCCTCTGCTGTTGGCAGGCTGGGCACCCAGCACTGGCTAATAGCTCAGTCTTAGTAAGGGAATGTCCATGTCATTGAGCCCATGCATAATCTCCATTGGACTCCAAGCAGCTGGGGCTACTTTGTATACAGATACTAAGCCAGCCACAGGGAGGCCAGGCAAGGCATCCAAAGGGTAGTTCACCTTGTTCACCTGATTTCTGAGAGCCTCCTTTGCACAGGATGCTTTCTGGCCAGCATTTAAACCTAATGACTCTTAAGTCTCTTCTATTTCTTCCTCTTCTGTTTATCAAACAATTTTTATTCATAGGTTTTTAACTGCCTTCCGCTTTCAGAGATTCTTTCGCTTTCACTCTGGAAGCAAATCCTTAACCTGATCTAATGAGGAAAGAGGGACAATCTTTAAACCTTTCTTCTTCTCAAAAAGATATTTATTTTTATCTGTGATGTACATAACTTCAAAGAATCATCACTGTGTAAAGGTACACCTAGCCAGTTTTAAGGTACAGTTTAAGACTTGTGAGTTGAACAGAAGTATATGACTAAAAATTCTAAGTATAGGAAAAGTTTAAAAATAATGTATAAATATAAATATAGAAGTTAAAGAAATCCCTAAAACAGTAATAGTAGGCACTTTTAAATAATTTATTACAGGCAGAGAAACAAGATGGCGGCGTAGGTAACAGCTGCACCCGCTGCCTCCCACAACCACATCAAAATTACAACTAAAATACAGAATAACCATCACTCAGAACCTCCTGAAATCTGGCCGCACAGAAGCCCTACAACCAGGGAACTGAAGCAGCACTGAGACCAGGAGGAGGGGCGGAGCCGCTGGCAGACCGGGACTGAATCCGAGATGCGCCGCGGGGCCACACTTGGTTTAAACCCAGGAGGGAATCTCAGTGGCGGAGGTTTCCCGGAGGAGCGAGGGGTCCCAGCCCCACAGCAGGACCCCAGCCCAGGGCTTCAGGGCCGGGAAGAGACGTCCCCACAACTCCGGGCTGTGAAACCAGCGGGGACTGTCCCTGAGGGTCATGGAGGCTGCGGGAGCCCCAGGCTTTCCTCTTACAGGGCCCGCACACGGACTCACTTGGACGCGCTCCCTCGGAGCCCAGCGCCGGGCAGCAGCTTGAAAGGACCTGGGAG